TCTGATATATTCATTGCCGGGAGCGGAGCTAAACCAGTTGTTAACCCTGGTGGTGGCAATAAAATCGGAGATGCCTTGCGAGCCTGAGCTACTGCTGTTTGCAGGGATGAACGATCACTTGCATGCGACGGGGTTTCTTGAGCAGCTCACGGGTGATGAACCGGCACCGAAGAAGATCTGGGAAGCCATCCAGACATTATTTGCAGCCATGAATGAGAACGTTGCCTCACGATTTGGCTCCAAGACAAAAGTAGCGTTCACGACGTCCCCCGGGTACGCGAGCATGCCTCCCGCTCTGCAATTTGTGTATGCGATCTTGATCTTGATAGCAGAAGGGAATGGGTGGCATATTCTGATGGCAGCTCCCAATCGAGACCTGGAGCCTACGAACTTGAGACTTCGCAGATCAGAACTGGCGGCGGCGTGGGCGGATGTGTCCCACGCATTGAGGGGCTTCTACAAGTTGGCTGACATCCTCATCGTATTGGACGAGGTCCTCTTGCTAGAGATATCCAACTTCGCTAGGCAACTCAAGCTCAGCCCGATTAGTGACTCACCTGACAACCAGTCTGTGGTTTCGAAGCATGGAGTTGACCATCACAAGCTCCACCAGTAAATCTAGAGGGCCGAGCAACGAGAGGAAGAACGTGGCCGCAGTGGAGAAGCAGCTGGGCTTGATGGTGTATCGACTGACACAAGAGAGAGGCAGGTGGCCCTTCCTGACACCAAGGCTGGAGAACGCCACGGAGAAGACGAGAGAAGGTGCACCGCTTCTGTTGAAGCAGATCTGGGATTTTCTTGAGGAGCAGCTAGAAGTGGCCGAGAAGAGGGAAATGACGGTTGGCAGGTTTCTCACAGCAGCCAACGAAGTCACGATTGGAGGATTCTGGAGGGAGCACGCAAGGGGTGAGCTGATGACGAGGAGGGATCACGAGATTCTTGAGTTCTTGAGTCCTTGTTGGGGAAAGGAGTTCCTGGCTGGAGTGTACAGCGCGAAAGAGACCATCTTTAAAGCCTTCATACAGAAAATATTGAATATGCCCATCAGTCGCTGGCACTGTACCTGGTTTACCCAAGGTACCTGTTCAATATGGGCCCAGCATACATGTTCAATCGGGGCGTGGACACAATCCGGATTGACGGGTACTTGACATTGGTGCTTCTAACCCACGGGGAAATAGTGTCATTTCACCGACTGATGAAATACGGAGAGCCTCTGTCGATGGGAAGAACAAACTCGAGTATTGACACATATTCGTATAAGTGTGCTGCCGGACTAAAGACGCTGCTGGTACAGTACTTACTGATGCAAAACCGGCACCTGACTGGTGAAGAAAAGAGCCCGAAGACAAGAGATGAGTGGAGGAAAGTGAATGGAGGCATGCCTCTATTGACGGACTTATGCCTAGCCATGAGATCGGACCCCATGGGGATGGTCCGAGGGCTAGGGGAGGTCGTAACCTGTATCTATGGACCGGCGTGCACGTTCGCGTTTCCAGATCCTCTGGTGACAGCTTATCGATACTCAGTGACCCACGTGAGCCTCATAAGCATATTAGATGGGACGACGCTCAATTGGTGTCAGCAGGAGGTGCTAAGGGTAAAGATGAGCAACACGGTGCTCTTCGGAAAGGTGAAGGATCCGGAGTTGGTAGTATACAGTTTTCGAGGACAACTGCAGTACAGGATGGGAGGCAAGCGTGAAGGCCCCATCGAAACCTATCCCAAGTTCTGGAACCTAAATCCCCTGACAGCAAATGGACGAGAGATCTTGAGAATTCCCGCATGGAAGAAAAGCTTCGAGCTGGTGAAAAGTTAGCTAGAGGCAATATTGGAGAAGGAAGTCCTGCCGGCAAGCATTCCAGAATTTCCAACAGTGAGGAGAATGACCCTGGGGATGAACAGCTCCCTGGTGGTCCCGTCCCTTTTCGCGAGAGCAGCAACCGAAGAACAGCAGAAGGAGTTCATCGACGGCTGGGATCCTCTCTTCATCGGCTACTCTGCAGCGATCTATTTTCATACCAGCGGTGCGAAAATAAATTCATGGACAACTCAAGCCAAGAAAATGAGAGGGTCGATGCCCCCGAAGTTCGAGGTACGAGATGCCTTGAGAACACTTGAGCGGGCAGGTCTAGAGAACAAGTTGCCGGTGTGGGACGATGGCAGGATGATCGTGAATGAAGGACATATCGCACTGAAAGGAGACGAGATGGTGTTTGCCACAAGTAAATACCGGGCACCCTACGGACTAGAGCAGGTGGAAAGGAGACAGGAGGGAAAGGAGCTGGATGCAGCAGGCCCATTGTATGTGGCTCTGACAGAGTATAAACAAACGGGTCCAGCGACACCATCACCCCTATCAGTGGACACCCCTGGGGATAAAAGGAGTGGTCCCGTAGAAGATCGATTCAGACGGATTCTTGAAAGAAGAGAAGCAGAATCGGGAGAGGAGAGCATGGATGAGACTCTCAGTGAGGCAGGAGAGGATATGGAGGTGGGAAACACACCGGAGCAGAAGCCATCGGAGGAAGAGTTCACCACGCAAGAACTGTTGAAGGATCTGAGTGGAGAAAATTGGGCAGACACCCCCACGCCACCTCTGACCTCATCTCCCCGCAAGAATCTAGAGTTGCCACTGACGAGCGAGAATCCCAACATGGGAATGATCTTCCTGAGTGCGGAGAGAAGGGAGAAGAACACCTTCGAGGGAAACAGGGATGCCTTCCTAGGCACTCTGGATGAGGATGCTTGGCGAAAATTCTTGAGTGATTTTAATCGAGAAGTGGAGGACGATACCACATTGGACGATTTTAAGGAGGAGCTGTGGGACACGGTGGTGAAATTTGGAGAACCTGTCCTGATGGGGACAGGTCTGGAGGAGAAAGCTAGAGGAGAGCTGCTGAGCAAGATGGTCGAGTTGAGGAGGGCATCACGAAAGACCAAAGAAGACAAATGTAAAGACAGCTCTACTCTGAAACAAAAAACTGACAATAAAATAATTGAACATGTAAGGGGGGATAAGGTCGGAACTAGTAATATAATTAAAAGTACTAATATCCTAAAGGCTCGAGCAGGGGGAGGCAAGAGTTGGAAGGGTTGGATGGAGACAAGGAAGTCGAATCAGTGATGATAACGACAACGCCCCCGAGTAAAGACGTGAGGTCTCGCAAGAGGAAGAGAGACGTGGAGGGATTGGGCAGTCCTTCAGCGAATGCGGTTTTGGAGAAGAACTTGAGAGAGACAGCCCCCATGATGCTGGCACGATGGAAGACAGCAGCCTAAAAGAGTAGCTACGAGCCGAGGAAACTGCTCGACGTAGAAAAAGAGATGAAGATCCCCACCAGCTCATCAACGGAAGAAGACTTCAAACCTCAGAGGATAAAAATGAAGCGAGGTTCGACGAGCGGGCAGACCTGGGAAGTGGACGTCGGCAAAGAATGGGTCTCAAGTGAACACCAGGCTACTGGGAAGCAAGTGACAAGCGATCCTCTTGAGAAGAATAAAACGAGGAACACCTCCCGACCGTGGTGGGTGGCTCTGGAAACATTGCAGGAATTGGAAGACTGCCTGAAGAAGCTCGACAGTGGAGTGTCATGCAAACGACGCAACTGGGCTACCCAGCAGAAGGCTGGTATCAATAAATTGGAATTGGGGAGCCAACTGAGGAGAACTTGGCAGAACTTGTTAAAGGATCATTTTGAAGAAGCGATGAGAACATCCTCATCGGCATCGCCGTTGATGGCGAATCCCTTTATTAGGACCGCAGGACAACTGATGTTCGCGTGGAGCCTGTTGGGGATAGAGTTAGAGACACTGACTTCGTACGACAAGTTGAAGTTGGGAGGCAAGAATCTAGAGGTATATCGAATGCTGATGCAGCACGTTGCTAGGGACAACTCAGGCTTGAGTCTGGCAAGGAGGAAAGATGCTACCTTTTTCTTGAGATGGACAATGTCGATGATGACTGACAGTACCATCCTAGCATGTCACCAGAGAGCAATTGGGAGCAAGACGCTGGAAAGGAGAGTCTCCACAGTCATCTTGAATGTGTACCAGAGCACTGGGATAGAAAAGGAGGATGGTTCTAGGCAATCTCTAGAGCGCCACCGGAAGTTAGATGAGATACGGAGATTCTACAACAAGAAGTTTGAGGAGAAACACGACGTTCACCGTAACTTGGCTTCGTCAGGAGAGTACTTGAAACCCAACAAGAACGGAGAGTACCAGTATGTGTCTGGAGTGATGGGGATGGCATACAACCCTTTCTTGGACTTAGAAGCTGGAGGTGCCCACAGAAACTATGAGGTGGCTGAGCTACTGAAATTCTGGACAGAGAAGATAATGGAGATAGACACTGTGGAAAGGGAGAGACACGCTCAAGTAAAAGAGTAGAACTAAGAATGGGTAACGGGAACGGCACGTTGACCACGAATCTAGGAGTGGTGTGGAAGTTGCTCAGGCCCTCTTGGTGTCCACATCCCCATGCGAGCCTGATCGAGGAAGTTACTGAGCGAGTGAGATTGGCGCCGACAGAGGATGAAGATTTAGCGACCTTGAGTATAGTACATAGACTGATCCTGCCTCAGATGAAGGAGTCAAGTGAGATGACGAGTGGAACAGGGTCGGTAAAGAAGATGGAGCCGGGCAGTTGTCTTGACTCGACGTGTGGGAATGGCGAGCACACCTGTGATGGACGATCGTGCGTCAGGATACAGTCTTTCCAGAAAGAAGACCTAGTCACTTGGTTTGAAGATATCACCGAAAGGGAGAAAAGTGAGATACAGATAGTGGCTGAGTGTTACGCGAGTACCACTGTGAACCTAGCAACAGCTCTGGGATTCTTCTCGAGAATGTGTAGTCTCCAGTCACTGGAGAGGCTAGAGTCAGAACACCACTTGGTGACGGCGTTGAGCGTGGAGTCATGGCCCGGAGTGTTGCAAGTGACCCAGAAACACATCAAGAGTTGGAAGGTTGGACTCGAAGCGGAGATGGGATTTCCCATGAGCGAAGCCTATGGACTGCCTCTAAATGCGAAGTCCCTAGTGGGGTCAGTGATGGCCAACCTATGTGGCAGCGACTATACATTGCACATGGCGATGGTAGAAATGTTCAGCCAGAGGGTATTGATAGACAAAGCCTTCTCAGTGCCCAAATGTGTAAGACTAGCTCGGATGTCACATCATTCACACAGGCTGTTGAGGAAGGTCCGAGGAACAGTGCCTAAAGAACAAAGGGATGACTTGTGTGAAATCTGGGGTGAAGAACTTCTGGGCTTAGAGAGCGAAAATACGAGTGACCTCGAGAGACAAAACGTGATGGGGAAACCCATGGTAGGTGCCCCAGACTTGGGAGAAGTCGACGTGATACACGAGAAGATGATGGAACTTGAGCCTCTCCTAGAAGCCTCGGGAGAACGCAATCTTAGGAGCATCGACCTCACACACGGGGATTGTCCGTGCCACTGTCTGGCGCAGACAGTGTGGTACCCAGACCAAGCCAATCTCTGCCTGATCTGGGATGTAGAAGAAATCAGGTCGTTGGGACTACCCCGAGCATCAACAAAAAGTGACCATTTTGGTGGTGAGCACAATGCTGGCTCTGCGATGGATGGAAGAAAACATAGCAAAGTATCGACAATCGAAGACGCCTACAGCAGAGTCGATTCCCGCGATAGATTACAGCAGGAGACTTGAGTTGTTCGAGACTGCATGCAAGGTGTTCGCAATACCAATGGAAGTCAGACACGTGTGGAGCCGCTTGAGATTCTTTCCTTGGTTTCGCGCGACGTTAACATCCTGGTTATATGTAGCGACCAAGGATCACATGAGGAAACATCAAAAGGAATATCGACAATTCCAGGCCGAGATAGGACCAGATGCCTTCAAAAGACCTCTGCTGACCCATCGAAATGCGATCACTACGGGGTGGAAAAGAGTGGGTAGAGTATCCAGAGACAACACTAGAGTGAGGGAGTTGATACTGGAGGAGGACCTGGCGAAGAATGTAAGCCTGAGTCTTCACAATTCCTTCTGTTTGAACCGGGAGTCGAAGGTGAAGAGCTTACCGAATCAAGCGAGGAGATTGCAAGAGCAAAGAGAGTGGATGCGATCCTATAAACAGCTGAAGGCTTGGGAGGAGATTGTGATCAGCTTCGATGACGAAGAGGCACTATTAAGACAGATCACAGTGTCAAATATATCAGGGTCGGGTACCTCGAGGGCGAAGAACACGAGGTGAGCCGGTGGCTCAAAAGGAAAATTCTAGAGTCTTGAGTCTTGAGAGGGAGGGGGCTCGAGGGTGAACTCGGATGAAATCTGGGTTCACGAAAAAGAAATTTTAACAAATGAGATATTGTTATTAATATGCTAGATCTATTATATGAATCAAAATGCTGCATGACAAATTCCTGATTGAAATAGGACAAAAGAAATTTTAAATTACTAGCTTAAAAAGCGAGAATTCATAGGTGCAGGTGTGTGCAGATTTTGATTGCTGTTTAGCGATAGTGTGAAAATTTTATATGGTTGTGAATTTTGGAAGGTAGATAAACTTAAGTCTGCTGCAAACTTCTGTAAATGACCACTGGCACTGTATCTTGAGTGACACTCGGGCTTCTGGGGATTCACTGACAGAGACAGCGCGCGATGAGGACATCAATTTTGAGTCCGTGGAGTATGTGCCAGTCGGTCATATCTGGAAGTTTGACCTTGAGGGACACGAGAATACGTAATTTTGGAGTGAAGTTATAATTTTCAAAATTTCGAATGGAGCCTGTCATGCTCAGTTTTCTCGCATCAACTGAAAACAAAAAGTGAAAAATCAGAACAACCGAATTTACAATAGCGGGAAAATACTAAAGAAAACAGCAGGAAATTGCTATTCGCAATTTCCAGACACAAAATAAGACACGAGTAGAGCTGTCTCATCCTGAAATAGGAGGAGAGATAATCAAAAGAAGGAAGAACAACTATTCGAAACGAACCAGAGTGAGCCTTCTATGGAAAGGTGGACAAGTTGAGTGTCCCAATGGTTCATACAAAAACTCCAATTTTAGAGTCAGAATTTAATTCTGTTATCAATACTGACTTGTATTAAAACTTATCTAATTATAATACATTGAAATTATAGTACATGTTTAAACATGACTAAAAATTGCAATTTTTGAAAAAATAAACTGACATGTCAGTTTGGATAAAACATCAAATCGAAAAATTATGACTCAAGTAACAAAAAAGTACGGAAATTGTCATAATCGATGAAATAATTTTTACGTAATAACAGATGTAAGAATGTGATTGGTTAAAAATTTCTAACATGTTCTTTTTGAATTTCATATATGATCTTTGATCATTTTATTGTAAATAAAAAATTTTATATCCTGACGATGCACAAAATGTGCGAAAACGTTTGAATTAACAATTTTAAATAATTCTTATTCTACTTTTTGTTAAATTTTAGAAAAAAAAAACCTCGGCGAAGAGTGAATGATAGATTAAAAAGTTTGTTGTAAAATTACAAACAAAAAATTTTTAGATCATTTTTATTTTTCTCAGAATAGTCTTAATTTTTATTTTTTCTTTTCTCATCTTAACAATGAGTTTTCTTACATTTGAGTTAAAATGGCATGGGTTGTAGCTGCAAGCTCTCTATTTCATAGCTTGAATACCTTACGACCAGCAGAGAAAGCGGAACTGGACGAACTGGTATACGCTGAATCGGGATTATCACTGAATCCTCATACCGTGAGGAGGAGACAAAATTTACAGACTCCTCTGGTGGACAAGGAGATAATTCTTTGGCACGACGTATTGAATAACAAATTGTCAAAACACAGAACCAATGCCAACACGCTTTATCCTCTGGACGATTTAATTTCGTATTTGCAATCAAAGCGACATCGGTTTAAGGCGATTATATATTGCAGAAGAACCAGAACGACAGATATCTTTGATTCTCTGATGCGTACAGGGATCTTGATAGTCCCAACAACGAAATTGATCTCGAGAGGCAAGAGGCAGGATCCCGCTTTGATGAGACAATACCTGGAAGTTCATCAATCGAGCGAACTTGAGTTGAAATCATTGCGAGTTGTGCTGACACATAGAGAGAACTTGCCCGGGATATTCTCAAAGATAAGAGCGCGGACTCAGAAACCATCACAAGGACGACGCAAGGCGAAGGCACGCAGAGAGGAAACAACGACTGACGTCTCTCTACCATCGGCTGAAAGGGCGCGGATTGGGTAAGTGAATCCACTGTGTGAATTATCCTGCTGAGAGCCGCATGAGTTTAAGTGCTCGTGGCCTGCAGGATAATGACCGCCGTAGTTTTGCCCCCACCGATGCTGAGATGGATACTCAGGAAAAAACAAACTTGGAAATTAGTTTTGAATTACCTGAAGTATTCAAATAAATTAAACAACAATTTCCATCGATTGAAGTTTTTACGGAAATGTCAAAGCAATGACATAATACCAGATTTTTTGAGATTTCGGGTGCCAGAAAATGGGTTTTTTTCGGACCAAGCGGTGCATAGCTTTCAATTAAAACTCCTAAGAACAGAGATAAATCAGGCAAGGTCAGAAGAGAAGAAGATATACGATGATCTAGCTAAGGCAAGAGAGGTAGTGCGGAGAGGGATAGATGAACAATGGTGGCCCTCAATAGCATTTTATCTAAAGCTCCAGGCTAGAATTGCTATCCATGACATCAAGGATAGACATGAAAAGAAGTTTAAAAAGCTAGCAGAGCGGCAGGACAGACCATTAATGAAAGTGAATGACAAATCGGTCAGAGCACTAGATGGCATTGAGCTACCCAAGTGGGTTCATGAAGTGTTAGGTTTTGGCCCAAAGCACCCGGTGAGGGATCGTTTCAATGAACTTCACTTTCTTGCGGACATTGATAATTTTTTATCTGAGCTTAAATCGCAAAAGGTACCAGGTGAAAAATTATGTGAAATTGAAGCTGCTGCAAAATCATACGCTAAACGTGTGCGGCAAACACCGTCGGATAGAGGGATTGAGAAATCCAGGAAGTATTTGAAGGACAATGGTCTCTTGGCAGTCCCATTCGATAAAGGTGTTGGCTTCTGTGTAATGAAGAAAACGACAAATGAGGCTAAACGAACTGAGCTGCTGCAATCGGAACAACTTAGCGAAAAACCAGGTTTAACTGATAGTGTTGTTATGAAAATTGAGAAAGAAATCAACAAAGAACTGTTGGCCATGAAAAAAAAAGATGAGATCGATGAGGCAGTGTATAGTAGGCTTAGGTCCACGGGAGGGCAGCCAGCTCGATTATATGGATTGGCTAAAGTACATAAGAAAGGAACCCCTCTCCGTACCGTACTGTCACTGCCAGGGAGCTCATATGAACATCTAAATAAAACTTTGGCCAAATTTTTTGACAACATTGAGGGGGCAAACATTGAGACAAACACACAAATGGCTCGGGAGATCATAGAGAACATAGATCTAGACTATAATGAGAGTATTATTTCCCTGGATGTCAAAAGTTTGTACACTAATGTCCCACTAAAGGAGGCAATAGATATAGCACTGAGGAAACTGTACGAACAAACTAGTCCTCCTAAACTGGCACGCGGAACTATGAAGAAATTGTTGAACATGGCTGTAAGTAAGGTGCACTTCAAATGCAATGGTTTATGGTACGTACAAAAGGATGGGTTGGCAATGGGTGCATCCCATGCTGTCATTCTTGCCAATTTATGGCTAAAGGAGTACGAATATGCATTAATGAAGGAAGTACCTGCGTTGACACAGCTAAATGAAAACCGGAATGGCCTATGCCCTGATTGCGAGCGGAGGGTAACATACAGAAGTAAGGGGATCGAATGCGAAGCTTGTTTAAATTGGTACCATTTAAAGTGTAGTAATGTATCCGACAAAGAATATGAGCAAATCTCAGAAATGGTTTGGTATTGTAAGAGATGTAAAGAGCAGCGAGATCAAGAAAAACCAACAGAAAATGTCAAAGCGTTCCTAAGATATGTAGATGATATAGTGAGGACGGTAAAGGGGGATCCAGATATAGTGTTAAAAGCAGCTAATGAGCTCCACCCCAACTTACAATTCACTATCGAGAATCCGGATTCGAACGGAGACTTAGCCTTTCTAGATTTGAACATTAATGTGGACTCACGAAAAAAGGTAACATGTGGATGGTATCAAAAACCAACGGATACTGGGACTATCCTTAACTTCAGAAGCTGCGCTCCATTGCAATATAAACGCAATGTAGTTGAGGGTACTGTTCATCGGATTTTTAGAAGTACATCAACATGGGAAAACTTTGACAAGGCAATGATGATTAATAAAGAACAATGGGTGGATAATCAATACCCTGAAAAATGGTCAGATGGTGTCGTATTAAGATTGTTGAATAAGATCATCGACCGAAAAACTGACACACGAACAACGGTAACATCAGTCAAAGAAGATCCTTTAAAAGTCAGTGCACCCATTATAACATTACAATACCGGGGTAATGTATCGGAGTGGTTTGCTGCCAAACTGCGTCAAAACGCCGGAGCCCAAGTGATATTTACTACGAGAAAGCTCAAGACTTGCCTACCGTCCCTTAAATCTCCCTTTGCGAAAGATTTGAAATCCAGAGTGGTCTACAAGCTCACATGTAGTGGATGTAATTCCACCTATGTTGGACAAACGGTCCGGCATTTGACCACGCGGATTGAAGAGCATCACAAGGAAGATTCGCCAGTAGGGCAACATTTGAGAGAATGTGACAGGGATGGTAAGAGCGCTGAGCTTAAGTCTGAGATTATAGATCAATCAAGTAACATACAGAAACTCCTCACTCTGGAGGCCTTACATATTTGGAAAGAACGCCCCAGAATTAACACGCGCGAGGAGTTCAGGAGCAGGGAGCTGACATTAAAATTATAGTACATGTTTAAACATGACTAAAATTGCAATTTTTGAAAAAATAAATTTTTCGATTGGATAAAACATCAAATCGAAAAATTATGACTCAAGTAACAAAAAAGTATGGAAATTGTCATAATCGATGAAATAATGATTATAAATCGATGAAAATAAAAATCGATGAAATAAAAATTGCAAATTATAGTACATGTTTAAACATGACTAAAATTGCAATTTTTGAAAAAATAAATTTTTCGATTGGATAAAACATCAAATCGAAAAATTATGACTCAAGTAACAAAAAAGTATGGAAATTGTCATAATTGATGAAATAATGATTACGTAATAACAGATGTAAGAATGTGATTGGTTAAAAATTTCTAACATGTTCTTTTTGAATTTCATACATGATCTTTGATCATTTTATTGTAAATAAAAAATTTTATATCCTGACGATGCACAAAATGTGCGAAAACGTTTGAATTAACAATTTTAAAAAATTCTTATATTATCTAATTCTTGAGTTGCTTTTCAATCTAATTACTCCTTGTACTCGAGTGCATCAACATGTGAGCCCCTAATTTAATTTTCTCGAGTGTGCTTTATGATTGTTATGTTGAGATAAGGCGAGTTTTAGGTTGATCCATCTGAAATGGATCAAAGTTCCACTGTCCAATAAAAAGTAACTTAACGGATTGTTCCGACCCTGTTCTTAATGGCGTTCATGTATTTTGGGTATCTCGAGACTTAAGTATGGGGACGTTCTTATTTTCTAGAGTAGGGGGATATTTTGGTAGTAGCCTTTAAGCTGTAACGGGTTCTAGTCTCATGTCGCAAGCGAACCGAATTGGCTCCGACCGTTCTTGAGGTAGAAAAACACAAGAGATAGTGTCCCTGACTCTTGAGCCAATGGTTATAGGGCCTATTTTTCTTAAGCCTCATATGTGACCGAAGTAGGCGACTGTTACATACCAACAATGATACATGGATGTGGAACACAGCAGCTTTGTTCCACTAATTTTCTAGAGTGGGGGGGGATATTTTGGTAGTAGCCTTTAAGCTGTAACGGGTTCTAGTCTCATGTCGCAAGCGAACCGAATTGGCTCCGACCGTTCTTGTGGTAGAAAAACACAAGAGATAGTGTCCCTGACTCTTGAGCCAATGGTTATAGGGCCTATTTTTCTTAAGCCTCATATGTGACCGAAGTAGGCGACTGTTACATACCAACAATGATACATGGATGTGGAACACAGCAGCTTTGTTCCACTAATTTTCGCGTGAACCTCCTTTACGTTTTATAACGTATAAATTCTTAATATTAATAATATAGAATATAGTACTCCAAACTGCTGCACCAGTTGTTGACTTCTTTTATTTCTATTATTTAATTTTATTATTTTGTATATGAGCAATGGTGAGAATCTAACTCATAATATTTACAAGCCAATATTTTGTTCGCATTTTCCGATTGTTACGAATATTGGCATGTGGACTAATGAGGCCATGACAAACATATTTGTTCATTACTTTACCTTGTAAAATCGTTCGTTACGCAATAAATTTGAGGCTTATGTGAGTTTAGGATGGGAAAAACAAGAAGAACTTATTTTTTTTCACTCGTTTCCAGTTTTTGAATGGAAATTTTGATGAAAAATCAATTGTTAATAATAACTCTGATCTCTGTTGGAACAGAACTAGCTTTCTTGAACTAATTCCACAAATTAATTTAATCTTTAAAGAAAAATTTTAAACGAGGTTTTGAACTGAGAGTGCGCATAACTTCTTCTATCTTCTATTGGCGAACAAGATGAAATAGAAAAAAGTAATTGTAAACGGCTAACAAAACATGGCTTCTTGGTTGAAAAGTAGGCCTGAATGGCGAAGGATTCGAGATATATGAGTGCTTTTTCAGTTTGCCAGATGTCTGCTATCAAAGTGTTGAATCCCAAAGCGGAGATTGCTCGTGCTGCTCAAGCGCTCTCGGTGAACATAAATGCTGCGAGAGGTTTGCAAGATGTGTTGAGGACTAATTTGGGGCCAAAAGGAACAATGAAGATGTTGGTTTCGGGAGCAGGAGACATTAAGATCACCAAGGATGGAAATGTTCTGCTGCACGAAATGCAAATCCAACACCCTACTGCATCGCTTGTTGCAAGAGTAGCCACCGCTCAAGACGACGTGACAGGCGACGGGACAACCTCTAATGTGTTGATCATCGGAGAGCTGATCAAGCAAGCAGAGCTGTACGTTTCCGAGGGGCTGCACCCTAGACTGTTGACTGAGGGATTCACTCTGGCCAAGGAGAAGGCACTTACTCTTCTGGAAGACATGAAGTGTCTGAGTGGAAAGATAGACAGAGAGACACTGTGCAATGTGGCCAGGACATCTCTGAGAACTAAAGTGCACCCAGTGATGGCCGATCTGCTGACGGAGAAGATAGTGGACGCTGTGCTGGCCATCAAAGTGGAGGGCAAGCCGCTGGATCTGCACATGATAGAGATCATGGAGATGATGCATAAGTTAGATGTGGACACTCAGCTGGTGCGTGGCATCGTCATGGACCACGGAGCCAGACACCCGAACATGCCGAAGAAGGCAGAGGACTGTGTCATTCTGACGTGCAATGTGTCGCTGGAGTATGAGAAGACGGAGGTGAACTCGTCATTCTTCTACAAATCGGCGGAGGAAAGGGAGAAGCTGGTGGCCGCAGAGAGGAGTGTGATTGACCACCGCGTGAAGCAGGTGAGTGAGTGAGTTGTGCTGCTGCTAGCATGTTGAGTCTTATTTCAAGTTGATTCAAATGCAGGCCGAAGTAGCACGCCCAAAATCTAGATTTCTTTTAAAGTATGCATATCTCTGCCATGGGGGATGCAAAATACCACAACATAGAAAATTCTAAAATCGTTTGATAGAGGAGGGTTTGAATATTGCTTTCAATCATTACTAAACTACAGCTCCATTATTGCCGTATTGATGCATTTGTTTGTCGTTTGAGCGACCTGATGTCGGAAGGGGCCTTACAACTGTTTTTCTGAACTTCAAAGAAAGTGATCAAAATTTAGTGCTCGTGTTGGTTTACACTTGTGAAGTTCCCTTGTAAATAGATCATATTTACTTGGTTATCATAGTTGGATTAATCATATCTCCTTTGTGTATTCATATTTTTTTGGTATCTTTCTTTCTTTGTTTTGTATATGATTTCGTTGTACCTTCTTGCTTCCTATTTATTTCCAGAGTTGTTTATCAATCCAAGTGCTATGAGAAGAAACAGTCAAAATTAGAACTATGAAATGGTCGTCGGCTTTGCAGACAGACAAGTGAGGGTTGAAGAAGTCCCAAAATGAAAAAGAAGACGCGCTCTGTGAATTGTATTCAGTTTAAAAGCGAATTCTTTAGCTTTGAAATTAAAGCAGAAGAAAGTAATTCTCTCACAAGCCATCAAGAGCCGAAGTTGTCAAAACCATTGACTCTTGTCGTCAAAACGTGATTAAAATAAAAGTCAAACGGTAAAATTACAAGTAACAAAGGTCAAGCAAAATATAAAGTAAAAAGCCCCCATTTGCATGATTCGTCCCCATTTGCATGATAATGCAAATCAAAATACGATAATTTTGTAGGGTAAAACAAAGTAGATGATAGGTCTTTGTTCATGCTGTAAACTTATGTAAAACACACTCAGCTGAGAAATCAATTGCGAGCTCAAGGTAAACGGCTCCAACGACAAGGCAAGTACAAAGTATAACACCTCGAATCTCCTGCTTCTGGTAACAAAATACGGGAAGGTTCCGATAAAATCTATTCCTGTCGTCAGAAAGGGAAAATGGTTTTCTGTTGGCAGACGTTTTTCTGGAAGATCTGACATCAGAGGTCAGTTTATTTCCTGTACCATGCGTCGACACGGCAAACATTGTCGCACAATATGCTTAACAGTAGCTTTAGATCGAAGTTTCCAGTAGTACTCTAAGAGAAGACTCGAAATCTGTTCTCTGCCGACATGAGAATTAGATGTGTGTACGAACTTTATGAGAAGTTGCACAATATCGTTGAATCCACTCAAAATGATACGATAACGAACAGTAGACAAAATTGTAGAGTTGCTTAGCCGACCTTTTGATCGAATGACATGAGAATTGTGTAGAACTGGACTGAGCGTTAACAGTTCCTGGTCAAAATCCTGTAGTTGAGAGCTTTTAATTATGTAGAGATAAGCTTTAGTGCAGATCGTCATTTCTAAAGAACATCGACGTTTCTTTAGGATGTCAACGAAGAGAAATCAGTAAGCTGTCGCTCTAATTAATCTTTGCCAGTTGCTGAAGCGTTAAACATCGATAATGCATTGTTTTGAAGATGGCTCTGCCATTAAGGGCATCATTGGAAATTGAAAAGAATTGAAACATAGACGACCTTGCTG